GAAATGCTCTGACGATTTGAACTGACATCATGGCTGCTCAGCGAAGAATCAATGTCCGCCGCCGAAGCTGCAGCCGCGAAAGGCGTCGCCGGGATTTTATCGCTAACGGCAGAGCGACGTGAAGGCTTCGTTTCTGACGATCGTTTTGGTGGCGACGTCTTTATCCGCTCACATTCGCCAATATCTAGTGAATCTAAATCATACCTGCCACCGCAGTCGACGTTCGAGGAGCTGTCAGACCTGTCGCAATCCAGCAAGTGAAAATTCACATTCTGCAAGTTGCGCTTTGCAGTAGAATAGATAAAGGAACAAAACTTAAACGGTGTACCTCTTCATTGTCCGCAAACTCAGAGAGAGCTTCGCCGCCATCTTCTGGCCAGGTCATATTGAAATTCGGCAAAAGAAAGGGTTCCAAGAAACAGCGTTCGCCATTTGCCGTTAACCGTCGATGGAAACGTGTGCGTCCTGTAATATGGTCGCGATTGCTAAATAACTTCCTAAGGCACAATGCTGAATCGGAAAAGCACCGAACACCGGCAAAACTGTGGAAGTTTGACTCTAGTTCGAAACCAAAGTGTTCGCAACTTTTTGTGAGTCTCAAACCAGCAACCGGCAGTGTCAGCTGCCGCCTCCATGCAGCAGCAGTTGTCGATAGAGAGTCGGGCAGAAAACTGGCTTGTGCCCAAGAAGAGTATAACAACGGCAGCGAATCAGCATGAATCTCGCTGGACATCGTCGAATATCCATCGTCCAGAGCGTACTGTTTAAGGGGCATACACTTTCTGAGGCATGAATACAGTGATGTTTTTGACGACGGTAGCTTATCATGCAACGGAAAGTCGTTTTTCACACTGTGCAGCATATGCACAAGAACTTGCAGTTTTTGATTCGGTTCCGTTCCGGTACCATCTTTAGCGACGATATGATTAACCTGCGGACACATGTCACTGTCATTAACGCATGGTTTCATGGAAACAGCAGAATCAGTCATTGCTACGCTGTCCTTATCCTTAATAACGTTCACACTCTTCTTCATATCGGCGATATCAGAACAGCTGCTGAAAGAGAACCCAGCCGTAGCCGTAAGAACCTCGACTCCATCGTCGTTACCAGCGTTCTTGCCGCTGGTCGGGCACTGGACTTTCAGCGCCAAGTCGGTGCTTTTAAAAGGAGACGATCCTCGACTGTTAACAAAACAACCGCTAACTGCTTCGCTCAAAGCCGTCACTGAGCTGTGACCTGCGTGGCTAACAGTGCATTCTTCTGAGATTCTGGAGAAGTTTTTGATTTCGTCCGTGCAATAGTCATTTTCATTGGGAAGCGTCTCCCCCGGCAAACTATCATCATTAGAATCGTCAAGCGTTTTCATCGACTCAGCGTTGAGCCCGCCATCACCGCAAGCGCTATTGATTACTTTCGCCACTGCGTTGAAATCCGTGTACTTGTCAAGGCAAAACGAAACCGGTCGGCTAAATAGCCCTTCGCCAGCGTTGCTCTGTGGTGAGCACAGTGCCAGATCTTTCGACGGCTAAATCACAGAAATTAACAATACGCCCTTAAGCACAGCAACCGAAGCTGCCAAATCATAAACAAACGGCAACAAATACGTCAGATCTCGCATTCTCATGACAAGAGATAGTTCTGCAAGAGCTATGACCGTAAAAAACCCAAGATCAAATCTCTGCCGCTTTATATGGAAACAGGATGGGGGATTAGCGTTTTTCGTTTGACAGACTGAGATCTGGCGGCAACCCGTCGTGATGTGATAGCAGATAAAATATGGGAGTAAGAGGGAACAAATTATACTGAAGCTGCTACGAACAACGCGGCTTTAGAATCATCCAGTGTATTTCTTTTAATCGAGAGGATCCGCTGTATCAGTACATTTCTGGCGTAAACAAGACGACTCTCTTGGCGACTCCATCATACAGAACGAGCAAAGACCAAAGAATGAAACTATCTGAAATGGTAAAGTGCGGCGACGAAATTTTCTTTGTCGTGAAGGGCTGTAAGGAACTTTGAATGACGCAATGATAGCAGATGTTCACAGTGCCTATTATTTCTAAATGACAGTACTTTCTAGACGCCCTGACTGCAAACTCGGACGGAAGATTGAAGGCCGCCATACGTATTAACCACTAAAAAAGTTACGCGAATTATCGTTTTGCTGTGCCGCTTATCCTCAGGGGCGGGAAAACCGGAAGATCGGTCAGAAAGACGCGTATAGGATATATCAAAAATGGAGAAAGTAATGGACAGTCAAAATCTGGGAAATATAACCTAATAATCCTGTTCGAATTTGTGCACTGCTGCCATCAAAAAGCGCTTGGTTTAATAATGACCTAGAGACGTTCATATAAACAGGATGCCTCTGGTTTTTGATATCCGCTATTCTTTTAACTTTCATTCCATTCCTCGGACATACAACGCAGGACACTGCACGGTAGAGAAACAATTCGCCCTTGAACACAGATATGAGTCCATTTTGGTCATCCACGTTATCTGTTGGCCTGCTGATCGACGTATGCCGCATTTCTGTTCGCATATGAGAAGCCCGCGAAATGGAGC